TGAAGCCAGACACAAATATGCGTGCCTTGTTGACCGGGGTGTCAGGGTCAAACTGTTGTGGATCCCCTCTCACATAGGCCTCATAAAACATGACAGAGTTGATGCCCTCGCCAAACTCGCGTCTAACAAAGACACCGTTGAATACAATTTGGGTCTGTCAAAAGAACCCTTAAAACTGTAATTAGGAAAGAACTTATTGATGAGTTTGACGCAAGTAGACAAGTGCAAACAGGCACTAGTCGATCCATAGTTTACCATGATGAGATGTATCAAGTGAAACATGTATATGGAGCAAGTAACAAGATCACTAGATTACAAGATGTTGTAACCGCTAGATTAAGGTTAGGATATAAGTACCTCTGGCAGTATGTTCCTCAAGCAGATGTAAATAAAACGAAATGTAAAGTGTGTGGCCATACATATGGCCACACACTTGAACACTACGTCCTCGACTGTGTGAGGATAGAACCTTTTAGGGACAGGTCCAAGCACACTGTGTGTGAAATGGCACAACACTTCATCTCTAATGGCAAGATAGCCGACATATTAAGATTGTATCCACTTTTTTGCACTCAGTAACTATATCAGTTCTCATGTACAGAACCAAATACGCAATGTGCTTGAATACCTCCCACGTAAATGTGAATAACAAAGTGTGAGGCCAGACATACTGCCTCACACGCCTGTTCTCACGCATTTGTGAATAAGTTACCCTTTATGTATAGAACTAAACAAATAATGTAAATGAAATACTGTGTAACTTTCGGTGCCATAATATCCTGACAACCGGGGTTAATTATTATGACCCTTTGTAAACCCTACTCTGTAATCCTTTTGCGCTACCGCTCACAGGATGAGTGTGGGGTGCACAATAAAGTAGCCGCTGCAAGCGGCAAAATCAAATCAAAATCATCCTTCCCGGACACATCTTTTGAGCGTGTTACCTCGTGAAATGATTTAAAGGAATTATCACGCCATTATGATAATCTCGGCAGGCCTACCTCCTGGTGATAATAAGTGACGCTCGTAATTTTTAGGTAACGCCACGGACGACACAACAGGGACGCCTCACTACCCTGGGCCGTGTAGGGGTCGGCAGGCCTAGGCGACGAATTAAAGGTTTGAAAACATGAGGCTGGTCGTTGACTGCGGCGGCGCAGAAAGTGAAACGCACCGGTAAATAGATGGGACACATTAGTAGGCAGGCGAGATGCATGGATGAGTGTGCTGAGGCCGATAACAAGGGATTCTATACGATAATTCATGGGTCTGTGTGTGTGGAACTCGTCGCCTCCTGCCTTAGGCCTCATTCTCTGGCCCAGTTCACACTCTCATGAATCAACACAAACGAGCACAAGACAGAACAAGAAAATGAAAGAAAAAATGTATTGAGTTATGGGTGACTGCTAAATTCAGCATATTTTGAATAAATATGGTGAGACATCTGTCCCCAGAACTGTAGACTAAATATGCTGGGCTCGTTTTATGTTGGTTGAGTAAAACAATAAACACACAGACATCTAAGAATTGTTATTTTCTAAGGTGGACCAAATATTATTTAATAGCTCATCGTACAGTAATAGATATTCAACTTTGTTCAAAAGTCTCTTTTCTAATAGTGTGGGTTTTAGTTTGACGAGTGTGTGGTCACAGTCTCAAGGTGAGAGAAAAAAAAGCTTAGCAAGTCCTTAAACGTCTTGTAGAAGGTATAATAGTCCTGTCCTTAACACTCGCCACTTCAGAAATATGACGCACTTTTGAGATTTGAATGACTTGAGGAGGTGCTCCATCGACCAGGGTCTAAAACCTTTGTGGATGATGACTCAGCTGGTTTATGGTTTAACGCCCTTAGTCTAGAATGATGGTTTAATTAATTGATGATGGTGGTGGTTTAGCAACACGATGCTTTAAAATATTTAGAATGATGGTTTAGTTCTTTATGCATGGTACCTAAAACCATCGTCCTCATAAGGTTTAAACACCGTTCACCAGGTTTAATTTTTACAAAAAAAATCAAGGATATTCCAATATTTTGTGACCCGGAAAATACTTATTAATTGTATCCGGTCTTACCTGTAACATGTTCTTATATATTTTTACTGTCCAAACAGATTAAATAAAGGTCACCAATCAGTATGAGCAATAGGCCCGTTGCAGTTTCCTCCATTTGTATGTTCTTATGTTCATGCCATTTTGACAGAGAATTAAGTTTGAGTTTATTTTACACGTTTCACTGGAGCCAGCTGAAAATCTAATTGAACCTCACAAAAATAGACTTCAAACAATCTCAATCAACCTCAAGAAATTCTTCATTTACCTCACTAGGAGAAAATACTTGTGTTGTTGGAGTACAGGAACATTAAAATAAAATATGCTATAAAGACAACTCGCATGTGTGTTAGGTGACCACACTTTATTTACCAACTTGAGACCATATTAACTTTCCTCTGGTGAGAGCTTTTGGGAGGGGGGGGGGGGAGGGGGAGTATATGAAGTGTGGGATGGATGTAAGGGCAGGTGTGGTGTGGGTGTGAGGGCAGGTATAGTGTAATTATGGTGGGGGTTTGGTATTGGGGTGGTGTGGTGTAAGTGTGGTACAGGTGTGGTGTAAGTGTGGTGTGGGTGTGGTGCAGGTGTGGTGTAAGTGTGGTACAGGTGTGGTACAGGTGTTGTGGGAGGTGAGTGGTGACCCAGTAGGTGGGGTCACTAATGACTTAATAACTCAAGGTACTTCGCCTTGGTAACATTCACAGCTACTTACCTCACCTCACACCCCAACAATGATCTTGTCTGTATCAACAATCTTAATCCTGAATCTTACGAGAGTTATGCAAATAAGTAGGAGTATTTATTTTTTAATCAAGAAGTGAGTGTCAATTTAACATATGTAGCAGAAACAACTAAATTCAGTGAAGTTTTAGTCAAAGGTCATATTAAATAGAATTGGTCCATTAGTGAGTGAGTTGGTCAGTATCAAGCCATGTATATATACAGATGACGGCAGCTAGAAATAATCAATTTGGTGATGCATAACTATAGAGCGCACGGCATCATACCCACATTATTCATCAAGGTAGATTATAATTGAAAAATATAATTAACAAATGGTTTGAAGAAAATGAAGCCAAGAGATCCTTACTAGAAAGCAAACATTAGTTCACAAAGGATATAGTTAAATGTGAACTGGAAGCGTTTCATTCATACTGAATTGAGAGTGATGTGTGGCGATAATTATCAGTTATAGGAAGGAAATGATTACAACGACTAATGATGAACGACACTGCAGTTCGAGGTACTGACGAGACAGGACAGGACACAGCTTAAACATCATATGGAATGATATAAAGTACAGTAGTAGCTAATAAATTCCTGAGTGTAGAGGCAGTACTGGAGAGAGGGTGGAAGCAGCGGTAGCGGCGACGCAGTAGCAGCAGTAGGTGGTGGTGGCTGGCCCGGGGTCACCTCTTCCGCGACCCAGCCACCAGCCTGGAACAGATTTCTCGGTGGCCTCAACCTCTGGATAGCGCCAGGGCACCTTGGGGAAGGAGGGAAGGGAAGCGTCGAGGGAGGAAGGCCAGTCATGGTGGGAGTGAAACGCGTGATTGTGGGGTCTGTGAGGGAGGAAATTTTTTGAAGAGTAGTTTTAAAAAGTGAGTTGACCCTTGTCTGGGTGCCGGGACTCGCTAATGGCTTCTATGTCGGTGTTATATCACCTGCCTCAGTGTAAACAAGTATATGCGAGTCGGACATTAGGTCAGGGTCTAACGCTCAAGCTTTTTACAATTGTTTTTCAATCACTGACCATTGTTTCAGTCATTGAGTCTGATAGCCTCAAATCTGGTATAGTAATTAGAAACGTTTAAATATTTATTGGAGCAGATAATGGAAAAGTACCTTTGTTTTGTTAGTTTTTCCTTTGGGAGGTGTCCCTCATAATTCGTAAGGGCTAAAGCCCTTATTTTTTCTAATTATGGAGGTTTTACTGTATTGTGTTTACATAGCTTTTGAAATGAATACAGTATTGATTGATCAAATTACCAAAGATTCGAGGTAACATATACCAGATTCTATTCATTGTCACAGTATAATATGCTGGTGCAGTGCTGGTAGATTGTCCTATCACAGGATTCTTGGAGGCTTGATGATTCCTTGTCATTAACATTAGCACTCTTAACCACAACTTTCTTGAAAAGAATGGGGTACTGTATGTAGTTGCAGATGCTTTGTGAAATAGATGATACAGGTACATTATTATTTATTCTATATACATTTATACTTGGTTGTTTTGCAGTCAGTTTCACCAAACACTTGCTACCACATACGCTATACTTTTGAACCAAGAAAAACTGGCGGTGAGCGGCCTGTCATTCCCAAAAGTTCTATTATGCTCTCATATAAATGTGAGGTGTAATTTAGAATTGCTGTACAGGTATAATATCTGTACAGCAATTCTGAATTCCACAGGACAAATGGAAGATGAAACAAAATACAATACCTCAGGTATTGTATTTTGTTTCATCTTCCATTTGTCCTGTGTCAAATTTTTCTCATTGGTTTGCTGTGAACTACAATATGCTTCATTTATAAAATGTACTGTACTGTATTTTGACATTTTGTAAACTGCTGTTGATTTTCAGCATCATTTATAACACATCGTATTTGATTGCACCCCTTTAAAATTATGTTGTAGTTTCCTCTAAAACTTTCTTCAAGCTTCATGAAAGGTTAAGTCAATTTTCTCATGGAATGTTGTATGTTACTATAGATTTTCACCTGCATGCAGCCACCAGTCACTGTTTGATGGTGTCACCCATTAGATTTTCCATCTTAGTTTTACAGTAAGTGTTAAACTTAGGTTCACTAAATTGGTATCCAGCTGTGGGAAATTTTAATAAGCTCAAAAATTTTGCTCACTGGTTCATAATTAATTTATCCCACAAAATCAAATACATATAAAATAATAAATATACAAGGATTCATTGTGACTTGTACGGTTCTTGATGCTCGTGCTGTAGCAATCTGTATCTACTGCCAACAGCAACTTTCTGCTCAGTCTACTACTACTACTGTCTTGTCCTTCAATATTAATATATATTTAGAGTTAAACAATCTTCATTGACAGCTATAGTGATAGAGTTGTAAATTGGGAAGATACATTTCCTCTCATCAAAAATGTCATAAATCATTCGTAAATGTATCTATACAGGTAAATCTTGGGGCAGTGTTTCAGCCTCATGGTTTGGGTCACCTCCTTGGATTGGATGTGCATGATGTTGGAGGCTATCTTGAAGACAACACCTCCTCGACCTCAGGAAGCTGGTTTCTGGTCTCTTCGCACAGCCAGGGTGTTAGAGGAGAACATGGTCCTCACAATTGAACCTGGATGCTACTTTATTGATCATGTAAGAAATCTGAACTTGTAATTATTTCAATATTAACACTAAATTTAAAAAATTCTGAACCCAGATCCTTAATAAGTATTCCAAGGAAACTTTGTATTATGTTTCAACATCTATATTTTGGCTGTTTGACCTGAAGCGCAAGGTAGTAGGTCAGGCATAATTTGGGCTTGATACACTTTTTATTTGGAGAGTGAAAAATACTCTTATTGTTTAAATGGTAGAACCAGTCTATGTTCTTGGTAAAAAAAAAATTCAAACTAGTCATTGAGGTAATTGGTATATAGACATTCTAAATGTGTTGTAACTATTTGTCATATGTATTGACAAAACTTGGGCCCAGATTAACTAAACTGCCCGTAACTTTGATCGTATCTCTCCTCATATCTCGAGAAGCTATGGTGATCGTACGATATTGGTTATAGGCAGTTCACTAAAGGTTCATATGGCGACTGCAGGTAAGTGTAGTTCAGTAAGCTACCACTAGATGGAGTTAGTGTATTTTTTTGGTTCCTTGCTAGACCAATCACCATTGCCTGGAACAAACACTTTGAAAGAATATTAGCCAATCACAAGTTACCCATGTCAGAGACTGAATTTCCCCAATGAGATTTTTCTTAATAATAATAATACCGTAATAATTATAATATGATTATTAATATTACTATTGCAGTATTTTGGAGCAAATACACTTTATATTTCTTGACACAGTTCATTGCCTTAAGCTAGTAACGTCATCAGCTACACTCTGGAAACTACCACTTGCAAAAAAACTGAAAACAGATGTATTTAGCCAGAGTATATACCAATGTAACAGTAAGTGGTCATCAATCTGTAGAGGGTCCAAAGGAACCTTAAACATCATTTCTCTCCATTGTGCACGGTCACAAACAAAAGTAATTGTTAGTTACATCTTCACAGCTTCACTCTCACTTGAGATGCTTGAAGTGCTGCATGTCTGGCAGCTCTGTGTTTCATGACAGGGTATATAGTAGAGACAACGGGGGCTATTTCCACCTTGAGAAAACTTACTGGCACTCAATGGCCACTTTAAGCTGCTAGTGAATCGGCCCTGGACATGTTAAAATTTTCCCCAGCAAACCTAAGTCCAAATTAAAAGGGACAATAATACACAATTGTGGCAGGAACACAAAATAAACTTTGTTTCACTGTAAGGAGAACATCGGAAGATAAATATCAATTACGATATTAAGTTATTAAGTTGGCTCGGTGTGCACTTATAGTAGGAAGCAATTATTTATTCTGGTACAGGAATTTATATTATTTCTATTAAATTGAAAATCGGTTTTAAAATTCATTAGTAAAATGAGGTCCAGAGTTAGCCACATCCAGAACTTAGCAAGAGGGCATTCAAGGCTGTATTGTCTTACCACGAGGCAAGATAAGGTAAATGACCTCCCATGAGATAAAGTTAAGGTCCATAATTAGTATTAGGTACTCCTGAATGTGCTGCTTAAGGATCTGTTAACCAAAATTTGATATCTTGATTATAACTTGTTCAAATGGCTTTTAGAAAATGTTCAAATGATTTTTAGAATATTTTAATTACTTTTGCAATGCTAATTACTCGCCACTTATGGGTTTTCGAGGTCATTTCTTGGTGCTTGTGTATTATTCTGGATGTACTTAAATAGTTAGGCACATTAAATTTTAGTTCAGAGGAGAAAAGTATTTTCGGCCAAAAAATCCTTTAAGGCTTTAGGACTTACAATTTTGGTCATTTACTAAAAAATGGATTTGTCTTCAAAATTTCAGTATATGCAATTCTGAATGTGCTGCTTACGATCTGTTAACCAAAAATTTGATATCTTGATTATAACTTGTTCTAAATGGCTTTTAGAAAAATGTTCAAATGATTTTAGAATATTTTAATTACTTTTGCAATGCTAATTACTTCCGCCACTTATGGGTTGAGGTCATTTCGGTGCTTGTATTATCTCTGATGTACTTAAAATAGTTAGCACATTAAATTTTAGTTCAGAGAGAAAGTATTTCTTGGCCAAAAATCCTTTAAGGCAATAGACTTACATTTTTTGCCATTTTCGGCCAAAAATGGATTTTGTTCAAAATTTCAGTATAGGTACTCCTGAATGTGCTGATTAAGGATCTGTTAACCAAAATTTGATATCTTGATTATAACTTGTTCAAATGGCTTTTAGAAAATGTTCAAATGATTTTTAGAATATTTAATTACTTTTGCAATGCTAATTACTCGCCACTTATGGGTTTTCGAGGTCATTTTTTGGTGCTTGTGTATTATTCAGGATGTACTTAAATAGTTAGGCACATTAAATTTTAGTTCAGAGAGAAAATGTATTTTTGGCCAAAAATCCTTTAAGGCTTTAGACTTACAATTTTTGTCATTTCGGCCAAAAAATGGATTTTGTTCAAAATTTCAGTATAGGTACTCCTGAATGTGCTGCTTAAGGATCTGTTAACCAAAATTTGATATCTTGATTATAACTTGCTCAAATGGCTTTTAGAAAATGTTCAAATGATTTTAGAATATTTTAATTACTTTTGCAATGCTAATTACTCGCCACTTATGGGTTTTCGGAGGTCATTTCTTGGTGCTTGTGTATTATTCTGATGTACTTAAATAGTTAGGCACATTAAATTTTTAGTTCAGAGAGAAAAGCAGCCCTAAAACTTTGGTTAGCTTTAGACTTACAATTTTATCATTTCACAAAAAATGGATTTTGTTCAAAATTTCAGTATAGGTACTCCTGAATGTGCTGTTTAACGATCTGTTAACCAAATTTTGATATCTTGATTATAACTTGTTCAAATGGCTTTTAGAAAATGTTCAAATGATTTTTAGAATATTATAATTACTTTTGCAATGCTAATTACTCGCCAATTATGGGTTTTCGAGGTCATTTCTTGGTGATTGTGTATTATTCTGGATGTACTTAAATAGTTAGGCACATTAAATTTTAGTTCAGAGAGAAAAAGTATTTTTGGCCAAAAATTCTGTAAGGGGTAAGCCTTACAATTTTTGGCATTTCGTCCACAAGTGGATTTTGTTCAAAATTTCAGCATAGGTACTCCTGAATGTGCTGCTTAAGGATCTGTTAACCAAAATTTGATATCTTGATTATAACTTGTTCAAATGGCTTTCAGAAAATGTTCAAATGATTTTTAGAATATTTTAATTACTTTTGCAATGCTAATTACTCGCCACTTATGGGTTTTCGAGGTCATTTCTTGGTGCTTGTGTATTATTCTGGATGTACTTAAATAGTTAGGCACATTAAATTTTAGTTCAGAGAGAAAAAGTATTTTTGGCCAAAAATCCTTTAAGGCTTTAGACTTACAATTTTTGTCATTTCGGCCAAAAAATGGATTTTGTTCAAAATTTCAATATAGGTACTCCTGAATGTGCTGCTTAAGGATCTGTTAACCAAAATTTGATATCTTGATTATAACTTGTTCAAATGGCTTTTAGAAAATGTTCAAATGATTTTTAGAATATTTCAATTACTTTTGCAATGCTAATTACTTGCCACTTATGGGTTTTCGAGGTCATTTCTTGGTGCTTGTGTATTATTCTGAATGTACTTAAATAGTTAGGCACATTAAATTTTAGTTCAGAAAGAAAAAGTATTTTTGGCCAAAAATCCTTTAAGGCTTTAGACTTACAATTTTCGTCATTTCGGCCAAAAAATGGATTTTGTTCAAAATTTCAGTATAGGTACTCCTGAATGTGCTGCTTAAGGATCTGTTAACCAAAATTTGATATCTTGATTATAACTTGTTCAAATGGCTTTTAGAAAATGTTCAAATGATTTATAGAATATTTTAATTACTTTTGCAATGCTAATTACTCGCCACTTATGGGTTTTCGAGGTCATTTCTTGGTGCTTGTGTATTATTCTGGATGTACTTAAATAGTTAGGCACATTAAATTTTAGATTAATTACCATGGAAGAAAAATGGCAAATCATGATTCTCATGGCAGTGATATAATGAGGGCTTATTACACAATTATTTTCAGAAAAGTTGAGGCTTGGTATTTGATTTCAAAGACATGAAAACCTGAAAGGAATTGTTAATATATATGTGAGAGAAAAACAATACAAACAGCTTAATTAATGGAGTAGCCAGGCTGTACATTTAATCAAAATAATGTACTGGGTTACATTTAGTGTAATTTTCTTATATTTTTCTCATCATTGTAGAGTTCATCAATATTTTTATTTATTTATTTTTTAATCAACAGCTTTTGGATCAAGCATTGGCTAATCCTGCTCAGGCACAGTTTCTGGTTCCCGAGGCAATAGCCCGCTTCCGTGGATTTGGTGGAGTCAGGATTGAGGATGATCTTGTTGTGACTGTCGATGGCACGGAAGACCTTGCGCAGGGTACGATTCCACAAACGTAAGTCACAGCTGTTTCATTTGCAATATAAAATCAATGATAATTAAATATATGATTGACTTGGCAAGTGGAGGCTTTACCACTCATTTCAGGATAGTTTACTTCATTGGCTCCTAAGTCCTAATTTGTAATTGAGTTATATTTTATATCATATGTGGGTGTACAGGATTCACTGTTTATTACATACAGTATTGAGATATGGAGGCAACTTTCTGTATATGTTGGACGATGGCATCCCTCAGAATTTGTTCAGAGTTTGCATATATGGAATGTTGTTAGGCTGATCAGTAGTGGAGCGCAAATTTGTTTGCTGCCACCTTTATCACCTTGGTCTATGTTCCTTGCCCTCCACATCCACGCCCCTCCACCTCCACACCCCTCCCTCTACATGTCAACACCCTCCACTTCCAACCCTGCACCTTCATGTCATGGGAAAGATTGGATTGATGTTGAGGTATACTATAGAAGCAGCTAATTTTAATTTTTCCCTGTACAGTGTGGAGGAGATTGAAGAACTTATGGCTGAAGGTCAACAGGAGGATGTGTTTGTCCCTCAGCTTCGTGCTCAGGAGAAGCTTGGTCAGTAATTAATGGTACTTTAACTTACACCATTGAGTAAAGAAGATGAGGAATAGGATGGACACAAGAAGACGTTTTATCCTTACATAAAATGTATAGTTATTTCAGCCTCGCTTTAGGTTAGATTATTATAACAAAGTAAATGTTTTAAATTATTAGAATGCCAAAAGTTTATTTGATTAAACTTGGAACTAGACATTTACTATATTAATGGAGTTATGTGCCTTAGACATTTACTATATTAATGGAGTTATGTGCCTTAGACATTTACTATATTAATGGAGTTATGTGCCTTAGACATTTACTATATTAATGGAGTTATGTGCCTTAGACATTTACTATATTAATGGAGTTATGTGCCTTAGACATTTACTATATTAATGGAGATATGTGCATTACTATATTAATGGAGATATCATACCTTATGTGCATTTACTATATTAATGGAGTTATGTGCCTTAGACATTTACTATATTAATGGAGTTATGTGCCTTAGACATTTACTATATTAATGGAGATATGTGCCTTAGACATTTACTATATTAATGGAGATATGTGCCTTAGACATTTACTATATTAATGGAGTTATGTGCCTTAGACATTTACTATATTAATGGAGTTATGTGCCTTAGACATTTACTATATAAATGGAGATATGTGCCTTAGACATTTACTATATTAATGGAGTTATGTGCCTTAGACATTTACTATATTAATGGAGATATGTGCCTGAAAAGATTTTCATATATATTGGACAACTTTATATACAGTATACAGGTTCTGTACTTTGTAAAAAATGGATCATATATGATTTGTTGCAAATTCCCTGGAACTTTAATAAATAAATTGCACTGGTTGTTCCTTTCATTCCTTACCCCCATAATTATAGAAAACGGGAAGTTTGTATTACAGAAAATGGGAAATATCTACTTTCTTGGAAAGTTGGTAATCTACTTATCACAGAAAACGGGAAATTTGTATCATAGAAAATGGGAAATATCTACTTTCCGCGAAAGTTGGTTATCTACTTTTCCGAAAAGTAGATTATCTACTTTTCGGGAAAGTAGATTATCGACTTTTTGGGGAAGTAGATTATCGACTTTTGGGCGAAAAATTACCCAATTTTGCGAAGTAGATTATCATAGAAAACGGGAAATTTGTATCATATAAAATGGGAAATATCTACTTTCCGGGAAAGTTGGTTATCTACTTATCACAGAAAACGGGAAATTTGTATCATAGAAAATGGGAAATATCTACTTTCCGGGAAAGTTGGTTATCTACTTTCCCGAAAAGTAGATAGATTTTCTACTTTT